ATTTAATTGGGCTTTAAAAGTATAAAAATTATTTTACATTTTTCTCCAACATTAATTACAGTACTTAATAACTACATCCCGTCATAAATAATTAAAACTGATTTCACATCAGTAGAAGTTAAATATAAAAGTGGTAATAAAAGCTTATTCTAGTTAATAAAATTATCAAATAAATGTATTAAAAAAAATTGTACTGAAATAAGCAGACATCTGACAATTTCTTGGTTTTCCTAAAAAAATCAATTAGTATTGGGACCATCCATAAATTACGTCACACGAATTTCAGGACTTTTTAAACCTCCCGTCCTTGTCATAGGTTGTCACATTTTCAGAACCCCCTCCCACTATTAATATGACGTCACAGATTTTTCAATTTTATGCATGTATTTAAAAATAATAAAAAAGAAACAGTTATTTTCATTTTTTAGAAAAGCGAGCGAGCACTCGCCGACGATTTGAACCTACTCAGACCCTTACTATTCAGAACTCTTGAGAATTTTAGTATCTCACTTGCATTACAACGCCGCTTTAGAAGTTAGTTGTTGTTGCGTGAAAGATAATCTCATAACGAGAGTGCTAAAGTATTAATAAATATAGATTGAGTTCGTAAATATTTAAAGTTTTTTATTCACATATAAGTTTCGCGTTTGAGTATTTCAAATTTTAAAATGTGACGTCACAAAGCTTTTGACCCCCCCCCCCTGCCCCTTGTCACATTCTGGTGATAGCCCCACCCCCCTTTAAGGTTCGACGTAATTTATGGATGACCCCTCTAAGGAATATTTAAAAGAATTGAATTTTTCTTTATTTCCTAATTGTAATTCATTCTTTAAGAAAAGTTCAAAAGATTGTCAGGTATCTGGTAGTTCTAGTATTGTATTAAAAATTTTTGTCACATAAATTAACTATAAAATTATAAATCCTAGCTACCCGTGTAAAAAAAACTTGTCATAAAGTTGCCATAAAAGAGTCATAAGCTTATGATCCTAAACGTGACACAGTTTAGGACACTTTAATGACAACTTTATGACACCAAGCCGAAATGAAATTTGTATTTTAGAAAAATATTGTCGCACTTACTAAAAAAAAAAAATGTTGTAAAGAGTACGTTTATGACAATTTTAGGATACTTTAATGACAATTTTAGGACGCCTTTTGAATTTTAGGATACTTTCATGATAATTTTATGACAACTTTAGGACAATTTTATGAAACTTTTATGACAACTTCAGGACAATTTTATGACAAGTTTTTTTTTACACGGGTAATATAAGAGTTTTTCTAAAAATAGATGTTTAAATGTAAGTACATGTAAAATTAAAATATTATTTATTTTCGTTCTGTTATAAGTATATTTATTATGTATTATACATGTATCTACCAAGACCACATGCAGTGTAAAGTATACTATGTATTTCAATATCTCTATAAAATAATATATGTGTCGACAGACCCTTTACAGCGATGCGAAACCTTTTGCGTGAGAATTTATTCTTGTTAAGTCATTCTTATCATGTATCAATTGTAAATATCAATTTTCAACCACAATATAAAGTATATTTTAAGATTAACCATAAAAAAGTTTTAATGAATAAAGTGGGATGATAAGTTCAAGGTTCTTTATCTTAAAAAGATTTTTTTTTCCCATTCAATAGTTAACATTCCAAAATTTGTCTTTAAGAAATAAATTAAAATATTACATACACCGATATGTCTAATATACATATAATGCTGTACCATAGATTGGTGATTGGTTTTGAAAGCAACCACTAAAATGGGATATGTTTAACAATATACTACAAATATGCTCGTGTGTATGATAAAATGTAGGCATTTCACTCGCTTGAATGTGCATAAATATAAAAATATATGTAAAGTATACTGACATATGTTACATGTTGGTAAGGTATTCATATACAAATATGTATATGCTATGTTCGATGTTACATCGTACCACGCAGTACAGTCTTAAGACAGCGAACCGTGTGCATTGTAATTGCGTAATCCACTCCTATTCGTTCAAGGTAGCCTCGAGGGATGGGAAAGGTATGCAGATATGCATATGAAGTTGACAAGTGTATTATAAAATATTGCTGATGAATTTGCTGGTTAAATTTATGTTATTTTTTAATTACTGATATATTGTAGACGTAATTGCTATAAATATAGTATAGGTTTACAGAAGTAATTATACTATTTCATGAAGAAATATGTTGAATTTTTTAGATCATTCGTTTTTACGTTTTTTAAAGTTTTTCATTACAAATAATTTATCTATAAATTGTATTTTGATATTTTACGATAATTTTAATAAATAATCAATAGTTTATGTAATAAAATAAACTTTCAACCGAAGTAAACTAAATTTGAGTTAAAAATGCAGAAATATCGATTTTATATAAATATTGGAATATTGATATTTTACTGAAGAAATAATTTATTGTTTTAATTTATTTAATTTGCAGCTGAAGTTATTTAAAATAAATAAATTTTAGAGTAAAATAATATTTAAAAAGTAAAATAAACTAACGTAAAGATGATTGAACGTAAGTCTTCTGAAACCCCGCAGGTTTTAATAATACATGACCTTTTAAGATTATTACTAAATAATAAAAATTACCAAGAATCTAATAAGAATTTCTGGAATTTACTCTTTCCTCGTAAACTAACGCACGTATTTTAACAATAATTAACTATATTGTTTTTTAGATTAAAGGTATCAATTAATTCAAAACAAATTTAGCTTTTTGTTATATTGAAATCACTAAAAATAAATCTTAAAAAAATTTTTTTTTCCAAGTTAATTGTGCCGAGAATGCTTTAAAAAAAAAGACAAAGAAGAATACTTATATGATGAAGAATAATTTAAGACGAAAAACGTGAGCAGTTATTGACGAGAGTCTCGTGGAATTCAAATAAGAAGTGTTGATCAAAACCTCCAGTTGTTCAAATATAATCGAGTAATTACTCTTCCAATGCAAAAGCAATTGCGCGGCAAGACGCCTCTTTGATCAGAATGCTTTTGATAACATTTGCGTTGAGTTATAGCCATAAATTTTCGCATTTAACCATTGAAAAGGCGATTATACTTTTTATTCTTACTAAATAAGACCTTTTTAGTCTATTTATCATTGCTCTAATCTATTTAATAATAGCTATGAATATTTGATATGATAAAAAAATTTCATCAACCTATTAATTCAAATTGACTGTTTGACTATTCAATAAAGTACACATTCAATGATTAATTATTTAATGATTTGATTTAAACTGTGCCAAGTATCCGGAAATATTTCAATTGGCTCAAGTTCAACGAATAAGTCTTTTACTCTTCTCTATTTTAAGAAAATTTCTATTACATTTTATAACTGTACTACCCTCGAGAATATAGAAGTTCTTTGTACTTTGTTTTCTTTACTACATAGAACTATAAAGTTAAACGTGCTGGTTCAGCATTTATCGCATTTACTTCTATATAAATCTATTCAAAATATAACGCTTAACGTTAATTCAATTATCAAGGATTTTTAAATTTGTGATCATTATATTTACATTTAATTTATTTATTATTAAAAAAGAAATTCTATATTTTTTTTCTCTCCATAAAATATGTATATACATTAAAAACGATCTCTTTCTCATTTCCTCTACAAACACTAACTTCTTGATTACTGTTTTATTTTTTTTTAACTATAATAAAATTTTATACTAAATTAAAGTAATTAACATTAGTAATAATAATAACTTAATAACACTTAACTCTGAAACTCCACTGTACACGGACGATAAAAATGTGGTAAACAGTGAGTCTTTGATTAAAATTTCTCAATAAGATTTACATATTATCATTTATTATTTTTTTTTTTCATTATCACTCTAAAAGCCATAAAACAATATAAATAAAACAAATAAAAAGTACTATTGAAATTAATTACTTTTGAAATTGTCCCATATTCTAAACGCGTGCTTAAGGGAGTAATATTTAATGGATTGAGAAGTATAATAAAATTTCAATAGTTCTATTGAAAATCAATTAATTACTAAAAATAATAAATGAAGCATGTTACAATTACTGTTGATTATTTTTTAATTGTCAAATAAAAAAATAATAAATATTATGTGCTTACAAATGGCTTTTAAAAATTAAGCGTACAAACTCTGCCATATTTTATTCACAAAAAAATTATTCTTTATTCGAAATCATAGTATATTTTGATTTATTTCAAAAGTCATCGTCTTTTGATATCGATTAATACGTTAAACAAGAAACATTTTCCAATAACTGAATCTTCATTAAATCATTGCTAAGCGTGCGAAGCATTGAATACCTATACTTGAAATATTCCGCTTCCGGTTTTTTTACCTTTTCCGCGACTGCTAATTTATTTTACTCTTCAGTTCTTTTATTTTCTGTTTAATTTAGCAGTAAAATTATTTATGCAATAGTACAACGAATTGGCAAAAGTCGTGATCAAACAAATTAACTTTATGGTTGATGGATCAATGACCCGTTTCCTGCTGTTAACTCGTATAAAGATTCCTACTACTCTATACAAGTATAGACTCTACTTGGATCAATTTGTACCAGAAGTATAACTAATGGATAAATATATATTTAGCCTTTACCCTTTGGTACGACTTACATTACTCAATTAACAAATCTGTCTGGGCCACCGCAATAATTTTCATCTCTTGTATGCACATAGTACACTTAGTTTATAAACTCAACAAGATTGTTAAGTGTCCAACCACACATCACAAGGGATTTATCATTAGTTGAGTTAATTATTATTCAAATTTATTACTTTTAATAGTTCTCTGTTAATGATATTTTCAATTTAATTTAAAAAATTACGAGCTTAATGTGAAACATTAAATAATTTTTTTTTTTTTTTTTTGACGTTAGTAATTATGTTCATGTAAACAGTTTATTGAAACAAAATTTTAAATTATAATCAAACATATAAAATTGAAATATAATACAAATAAAATATATTCAACTATTTCCTACCGCCTTTTCCTTTTCCTTTGCCCTTGCCCTTGCCCTTGCCTTTGCCTTTGCCTTTTCCTCGAAGTTTTTCTTCTCTTTCTTTTTTCATCTCTTGTATTCTCCGTTGTTTCAAAATTTGTTCAGGTCTTTTCAATTCATTTTTAGCTTTCAACATTTTTTCTTTAACTTTCTTATTGTGCCTTCCCCAATGAGTGTGTGAATTTACTTGCACTAGAAAGAAAAAAATTTATTATTAAAATTTATTAATATAAGTAATATGGAATTGATAAACGTTGGTTGATTATCACCAATATAGTTTAATTTTACGTAATAAATTAACTTACATTTTTTTACATCTTCTGGTTCATCAACATCATCATCAAAATCGTTATTTAAGCTATCAATTTTAGATTTTTCTTTCCACTGTTTATAACGGTTTGTCTTGAAAGAAGCTGAAATCCAAGTACCATTTTCCGTACGGATCTTTCCAACTTTTGAAGTCTATAAAATAGATAAAATAAAAAGTCATCATAATTACTAAGCCAAAGCTATAGTCTGCAATGATGAAAAATGTATTATTTATATATTTACATACATTATTAACGGTAACCATTTTTTTCTTTTTTCTGTCCCATTTTTTCATTTGTTTCTGTTGTCGGAACGCGTCTTCATTATCACCAGTCAAGTCCATTTGCTCTCGCTCAGCTGATGTTGCAAAATTATTCACAGCAAGCCTGAAAAAAGGTTTAATGAATTATTAAATAAAGAACAAATTGTCAAGAAAAATTAAAATTAATTTTAAAAAATAGTAAATTAAAAATTACAAGTGGAAATAAAACTTACCCATCTTCAGTATGTTTATCTGGAGCAGAATAAGGAATATAAAATTCTTCATCACGAACACCACGTTTCTTTTTCTTAGGTTCTTTGTACAAGTCATCAATTTTTCTTTTTTTCGGCTTAACAACCTCCTTGAATGCATTACTAATTTCGTCATTTGTACTTGTATCAAGTTTTGATTCTTGTTTAATATTATTCACAATTTTCAACGTATTTTCTTTTCTTTCAGCTTGTTTAGATTTAAATTTTGTAATTACATCGCTATGAAGTTCGCGTTTTGCTGTCATTACTTTGTAATCGGTTGAAGACGGCTTTCTACATACTTCAAATACAGTCTATAAATAGAAATCATGTTGATTTGAATAAAAATTATACATCATTATTCTAATAATAGCTATTTAAAATTATAATTAAAAAAAAATAATTACCCCTCGAGGTCTATAACTTTTCATTTGTGTCAATAAATCTGCAATCTTAGGTGCCATGTTCATAAATTCAGAATGCACACCAGCACTAGCTATATCTAGCTCTTTAACTCTTTTTATACTTGCTGTTGAAGCTGCTGGTCTTGAACGAATGTATTGTTGGTAAGCATTTTTACAGACATTTTGCATATTCAACTGTTGAAAAATTAAAAAAAAAAAAAAAAATCAATTTAATCAGTTAATTATTTTAGTATAAGTGAATCTTTGAAATTATATATAGTTTAAAATTTAGTCACAGGAGTTCAGGATTTTAAGATTATATATAGTATCAGTAAACTCACAAGGTCGGTATTATTATCGTGCCATGCAATCAATTCTGCGACTTCCTGCTCGATCATGGACTGTGGCAATTTTCCGATAGCACTTTCAATACTTTTTGTCGATGATTCTGATGGCACTATGCTAAAAGGTAAACCTAAGAAAAGATTTAAATCCAGAAGATATGCATATTCATCGTTAGAAACTATATTATACGCTGTTCCAGTTCTTCCAGCTCGAGCACAGCGTCCTATAAAAAATAGCAGTTTTATTTAATGCACTGAAATTTTAAATAATGAATTTAGATTAAGTAATTCATTTACTCACCAACACGATGAACAAAAAGCTTACTCTTAGCTGGAAAATTAAAATTAATTACGTTATCCAAATGTGGAATATCAATTCCTCTCGCTGCTACATCTGTTACAATCAAAACTTTAACTACATTAGCTTTGAATTTCGCAGCATTAATTTTACGTGCTGAAGAATCTAAATTTGAGTAAATGAAAGTATTTGTTATATTAGCATGGTCCAATATCTGTAATGAAAAATAATTCATTAATGAATTATTAAAAATTATTATTAAAAACAATTATTATTATAAACAATTATTAAAAATTATTACCATGTGAATGTATTCGACATGATGCATTGTACTAGCAAAAACAATTGTTTGTGAATCTGGTTTAATGACATATTTAAGTAAACACAGCAAAACAGCTACTTTTTCTTCTGGTCTACAAGTTATGAATGATAGTTTCAATTCTTCTGGTAATTTGCTCTCGACATCCAAACGTATTAGAACTGGATCACTCAGACCAGCTTTTGCAAATTCAACTAAAACTTTAGGAAGTGTTGCCGAGATAAGTAGCGTTTGACGTGATTCTGGTAATCGATTCGCTATTTCATTAATTTGTTCTCCCCATCCCATTTCAAATAATCTAAATGAAAAAGAAAAAACATTTAAAGCTTTTAATGGTAAAATTATTTAAATACATATCTTCTCACAACACTAAGGTCAAAGAAGTCTATAAATTTTTGCTAGCTTTGTCAACATAGTAAAATCTAAAAATATTTATTCTACATTAATTTTAAATTGCTAGAATAATTGACAAAAATATCAAAATTATACTCTCTTTTAGTATTAGTACGTGAAGAAAACATTGAAGATATAAATGTAGTTGAAATTAATATAGATAGCTTACTGATCGGCTTCATCATAAACAACATATTCAACATTATCCAATTTAAGATCCATTTCAATACAAATATGAAGAAAACGTCCAGGTGTTGCAACAAGAATATCTGGGTTGTTGTGAATACTTTCAAACTGTTCATCCATGCTGTCACCACCCAAAACAACAGCAGCTCTTAAATCCGTGTAATGAGCAAGATTTTTAATAAATTTCAATGTTTGTAATGCTAATTCACGGGTTGGGGATAAAATTAGTGCTCTCGCACCAACTTTCGGTTGTCTCATTTTTAATTTTTCAAGCATTGGAATTAAAAAACAAGCCGTCTTCCCGCTACCTGTCCTCGCCATGGCAACAACATCTCGTCCTTCCAATGCCAGTGGAATAGTCTATACATAAAAATACAATGTGAAATTGTCGATATTACCAATAAATAAACATATTTATTAATTAAACAAATATTTACTTTTCTCTGAATTGGTGTGGGGTGTTTGTAACCATTTGCAGTGATACCTTTAAGAACATTTTGACTTAATCCCATGCAACCAAAAGCACCTGTTCCTTTCTTTTTAGATTTTATCTCGGATGGTACATTATTATCATATCCATCATCACTATCCACTTCATTTGGATTATCAAATCCAATTATTTTAGTGTCTGTCATTTTCTTGCACTAACTACTTAATTAGTTAATATTAATCTAAACAAAATAAAATTTTTGGTTAGAAAATTACGAATCCCACGTGCATATAAAATCCGAATTTAAATAAGAAACTATAGAATATTTGGTATGGAAGGGGTAGAGTCCCTCTATAGTCTATAATTTAAATCAGAAATGATTCGGATACAGCAAGTATACCAAATTATATTAGTATATACAAAATACTAACTCGGAACGCGATATCCCGAGAATAAACTCAGCAGAGTCGTCACCCGATTATTGTAGTGCCTCCTTGTGGACTGGGGTGTGGTATGTAGTTACGCGGGATTTATTCAAATATGTTATTATTTATTAATTTGAGTTTACTATTGAAAGCTATTAGATGACATTAATGAAAAAGATAACTTTAGGTAAGAAATTTAATTTTGAATGATAATTGAATAATTATTGGAGAGCTTGACTTATTTAGGATTCTGAAATACAGCATATACTCAGTTATAGCTTTCAGGAAAAAGTAAAGTTACAAAGAATGAGCTTGAAGTTTATTTTATTTTATTATTATTATTATTATTATTATTATTCAATATATTCGATCACCATTTTTTCTGACTTTTAAGTTTCAAGTTGACTCGTTTCATATAAAAAAATTTGATAGAAATGTACTTGGAGTTAATATTAATGTCCATATAGAAAATGAATTCAAATTATTTTTATTTCACTCTCTTATTGCAATAATATTGAAGTAAGGCAAGTGAAGAAACAAATATTGATCAACTTTCTTATCGACCAAGGTATTGATTTCAATGTCATTGAACCCTGAAAACTGTAGAAAAATCAAACATCACATTGAAAAATTACGTGCTATTGGATTTAATTTGAATACATGAAATTTAGTAGCTTTCTCTGAAAATAAATGTAAAAGTTTCTACATCGATTATTGTAAAGAAGTTGAGTTAATGAAGAAATCTACAATTCCATACCGATAAATCATGTTAATTTTTATATAATTTGTTGTTCATGACTGATTTAAAATTAGCTCTCTATCTAGAATCATCCAATGACCAAGGCATTTTACAATCTGAATTTCATTTAAAGTTCCCACCATATACGGGAAATTCGATAAAGCTAATAACGAAAAGTACTTAACATATCATAGAAATAGAAAAACTTCAGTTTTTTTAGTTTCAATGAACTTTTTAAACTTTGAAAATTCAGGGAAGACAAGAACTCAGAAAACAATCATGAGGATCTACTTCTTATAAATTTTCATCATAAAACTTACTTTCATAAATGTATTAGTTTATGTATTATTTAAAAAAATTTTCAAAATTAAAAATTAAAAAATTAAAAAAGTCAACATAAACGCGCGTATTGGTACTTCTAAGCGTACTAAGCGTGAGCGTTGAGAGCGTTTAAGCGCTCGACCTGAGTGCGCCCTAATTTTTAATAAACTCTATAGTTTCTGCTGGCTTAAATGCATTCATGTGAATGTCTGTCGCTATTGGTTGAAATTAAATTGTCTGCCTCTCCCAAAAAAAAGTCAAGCTAATAATAACAATAACAATGTATGTACAAATGTGTAGCCTGTAAAAATTATATTATTTCATTAAAAAAAAATATATAATACAAGCAAATATCTTTTTTTTTTTTAGGCATTCAATCATGATAATTACTCTAAAGATACAAAGAAAAAAAATTTAATATTCCATATATTCTGTAGAGACAATCTCATTTCTCTGTTGTAATCTTATTTATTTGTTTTTTTTTTTTTTTTTTTTTTTATCTACAGATATACAAGGAGAGGAGTGTGACGACACACAAAAGACGGCCTTGCGCGCTGTATAATTTGCAAAATCACATGCACACTTTCTATCGGCATTTAAAATGTCTCACAATTGCAATTATTCTTCTTACAGATTTCTCCTTCTCGAATTTTAATTTTTTTTTTTTAATTTTATTCCATAGAAAAAATAATACTTTTAGAAAATAAATACATTTATTGAAACAAATAAATGGAGCCACGAGAGATTTTTATTCGTGAGCGCCGGCAGCCGTCTATTGATCGGTGAAAAAATAATTGCAATTTAGTTAAAAACATCTCTATTATCTTTAATTCGATAAATAATTTATGTATTTGAATAAAATTAACCGTGAAGAAATAAATAATTGAGCAAAAGTATTATTAAAAAGTAATAAAACAAATAAAAAGTAGTAGTGTTTTAAATAAAATTTAAATTTGGCGCTCGAATCCTTGAAACTCTGGCTGTGGACCCCGTGGCGCGTTGTTGTGATCTAACATGGCGGAGAGTAGTGTTGTGGCTATTGAGTGTCTACGTCAATTTTAATAGAATAAATATCTACGAGCTGGATAGGCACTTGCGACGATGCCCAATACTTGTGTGTTAACTATAACAGATATTAAGAAGATAAAACACTAAAAAAATCAGAGGTTATAATTGTGAGTGTAATTATTATTGATAAGTATATTTTTACTGTACCGCGAGACCGCTCTCTCATCGGTTGGATATTTATCGTACACAGCGGTGCGCAAGAGTATATAAATTCATCATTTTTTTAGTGTGGGGGTTATTTTATTTGGCCTGTAAGATATTATTTAATGTCAATTAAACATTAATTTAACGTAATATATGATTAAAAACTTTAATTTTCAAATAAGTATCTCTAATTAACAATAAAATACTCATTATTCCCGCGTATAAATTGTATGTAACAACTATAATTATCATCTTATGTGCTGTATATGATTGTGTGGCATCTTACGATCGAGAGCGGGCTTATGCAACAAGGCTGCATAAATATACAAAACTTTGTCAACAAAATATTTATTTGGATACACATTATACATATAAATATTAAATTTTTATTGATGAGCTGATATATTTACTTTATAAAAAAACTTACTATTAAAATAATATTTACATAATTTATTAATTAATAATTGACTTAATAATAATAATAATAATAATATAACATAATATAATATTGTTAATTTTAGTTTCTGAGTGACTAACGGACATTGTGAAATGCACGTTTGATCAACGACAATCACCGGTTAAAAGTAGTGTGCTAAGTACCGTTACTCCAAAGTATTCTGCAAGAATCGCTGCTAAGTACGATCGGCTAAAATAAAAACTTCAACATGCTCTTGTTTTAAAATCATCCTGGTAACGTCAAGTATATTTACGTCTATTTCCGAATGCAACAACGGTTGTCAACTGTCAAGAGGAAAAAATTTAACCAGCATTATTGGGTGATTGTGACGACATTAACTACTCAATGATAATATTAGGTTTACTTAAATGTCGTGACAAAATAACATTATCATCATTGTCATTAATATTTAGATCATACAAAAATGCCATTCACATAATAATTATCACTGCAAACACAATATAGTAGTGTGTATTTTATTCATAATTTTTTTTTTTTTTTTAACACTTTAAACAGATAATGATGATCCGTCTATATCATGCTTGTTGTGCTAGTAAATTTTTATAAATTATTGGTAGTAAAATTCAACAGCTGATTTTATTTCATCTTAATATATATATATTTTTTTTTGTCCGTTTAATGTTATAAATATTTATATAGATGATAATAACAGTATATTAATGAAAAAGTGCGGACGAATTTTATTAAAAAAAAAAAAAATTTATTAAAAATCAAGAAGTTATTGAAGTAACAGTGATTTTAATAAAGAGGTGAAGGCATGCTAGTTAGTAAACAGTAATACAAAAACATTAAGTGTGACAATTAACGTGCAAAATGACTGATACAAGAAGGCGAGTGAAGCTTTATGCTTTAAATGCTGATAGACAGTGGGATGATCGTGGTACTGGACATGTATCATCATCTTATGTAGACAGACTTAAAGGGATCTCATTATTGGTCAGAGCTGAGAGTGATGGTTCTGTTTTATTAGAAAGTAAAATACAGCCAGATACTGCATATCAAAAACAACAGGTTTGATAATTTTTATATTTTTAAATTTAATTATATTATTTATGTAATTGAATTCTGCAATGATATTTTTAAATTTATGTTTTTTAGGATACCCTGATTGTTTGGTCGGAAGGAGATAATTTTGATCTTGCTTTGAGCTTTCAAGAGAAAGCAGGTTGCGATGAAATATGGGAAAAAATATGTCAAGTTCAAGGTAAAGATCCATCAGTCGAAATAACACAAGATATCGTTGAAGAATCAGAAGATGAACGATTTGACGATATGTCTGACTCGGCACCGCCGATTGAATTACCACCGTGTGAATTAAGTCGTCTTGAAGATATCAATGAACTTATTGGTAATTGTTTATCAACGCCCGTACGAAAAGAAAAATTAGCCATGGCAATTGAATCTGAAGGTTATATTAAAAAATTATTAAATTTGTTTCATACATGCGAGGATCTTGAAAATATTGAAGGTTTACATCATTTATATGATATATTCAAAAATATTTTCTTATTAAATAAAAATGCCCTATTTGAGGTAATGTTTAGTGAGGATGTGATTTTTGATGTAGTGGGTTGTTTAGAATATGAGCCTTCATTACCACAACCAAAGAGGCATCGAGAATATTTACGTCAGTTAGCAAGATTTAAACAAGCTATTCCAATTACAAATCCTGAATTGTTAGCTAAAATCCACCAAACCTATCGTGTCCAATACATACAAGATGTAGTTCTACCAACACCAAGTGTATTTGAGGACAATATGCTCAGTACACTAAGTAGCTTTATATTTTTTAATAAAGTTGAAATAGTTACTTTAATTCAAGACGATGAAAGGTTTTTAACAGAATTATTTCGACAGTTAACCGACGAATCGACGTTAATATCTAAGCGTCGTGATTTAGTTTTGTTTCTCAAAGAGTTTTGTAATTTTTCACAAAATCTTCAACCACAAGGCAAAGAAGCGTTTTATCGAACATTAACAGCACTTGGTATTTTACCGGCACTTGAAATAACATTAGCAATAAATGATGCCCAAACTAAAACAGCTAGTATAGATATACTGACTTACATTGTTGAATATTCACCGAGTGTTGTTAGGGATTATACTTTACAACAAATAAATAACACTGAACAAGATCAAATGTTGATAAATGTTATAGTGGCTCAACTTGTTGGTGATACAGATCCAGAATTAGGTGGTGCTGTACAACTTGCTGGTGTTTTACGATTATTACTTGACCCGGAAAATATGTTGGCTTCTGTCAATAAATCTGAGAAGACTGACTTCCTTAATTATTTCTACAAAAACAGTATCATAACACTGATTGAACCATTATTAGCCAACACTGTTGGTGATAAACCAGTACGTGAAGATTATCGCACAGTACAGTTGCTAGGATTGATTCTCGAATTATTATCATTTTGTGTTGAACATCACATGTATCAAATTAAAAACTGCATTTTAAACAAAGATTTATTACGAAGAATATTAATCCTAATGAAATCAACGCATACCTTTTTGGTATTATGTGCATTGAGGTTTATGCGTAAAATAATTGCATTAAAAGATGAATTTTATAATAGATATATTATAAAGGGCAATTTATTCGCACCTGTATTTGATGCATTTGTAAGAAATAATGGTAGATACAATCTTCTGGATTCAGCTATACTCGAAATGTTCGAATTTATTAAATTGGTAATTATTTAATTTCTTTTTTAATTAACATTAATTTATTATTTTTGTCATTAATAATGCTATAAATATATATATATATATATTTTTTTTTTTCTTTTATTAGGAGGACATCAAATCTTTGTGTTCACATGTTGTTGAAAATTTCTCCAAAGAATTAGAAGCAATCGACTACGTACAAACATTTAAGGCATTAAAATCAAGGTATGAACAGCATCAGGATAAACTTAAGGATCGTGATAGAGCTACTCTCGAGAGGTATGTTGATAATCAACTACCGCGGGATCAGATAGACTCTGATCCGGATAGTATTATCACGAGTTTATATTTATAAATTTTATATTAATATATGTATGTTTTATTATTAACACACAGTGTACCATCGATTTTACGTAACAGCCGGTATAGACGGGACCAACGGCAGCTAGATGAAGATGAGGAAATGTGGTTTAATGAAGAGGAAGATTTCGATGAGGGTGAAGCTGTTGTTCCAGCTGCTGCGGCTGATCTAGTACCACCGGCATCAGCTAAAAAACAACCACCGAGTCCTAACTCTGCACCTAATCCTATCCCTGCAGATTCTAAAAGCCAACAACAGCAAACTGTGCTGAATAATAATACCGCTAATAATACCTCGACAACGCAACCGTCTCAAGTTAATAGTAGTAGTCCTACGGAGAATGAATCTTCGATTTCTGCTGGAATTATTGCCAGCTCCACAGACGATAGTGAGAAAGTAGGAACGACAGTTTTTAAAAAGGTAAAATATATAATTAATATTAAAAACTTTTTATTTATAAATCAATTTGTTGATTGATATATCTTTTGTACATTAACTAATTTTTTTTTTTTTTTTTTATTTTATTTTTTTTTTTTTTTACAGGGGTTGGTCGATTATGAAGGTGACTCTGATGAAGATGATGAAGATTCAGAATTAAATCCTTCTCCCAAAAGACAGCGACTTGCATAGTAGATAAATCATCAAAGAGCAGTAATAGTGCTACGACTATCGATCGCCGTCGCTGTTCTTCCCTCTGATAGATTTATACTCAAATTAATTTGAAATTATTTTGATCTATTTCGTTTATATAAAGTCAATAACAAATAGGTCAGAATTAAATAATCTTAATCATGTGTCTTTAGACAGATACTCGAGTATGTTTAACTACATAAGAGGGGAAATATATATTTTTTAACTTTAGTGCATTGTGAACATTGACAACTGTCTGTGCTAATTTCTTGTACAGTTAACTAAGAAAAGAACAGCCATACAGGAGAATTTAAAGGATATTGATATTAATAATAATTATTAAAATAATAATTATAAATATAATGATAATACTAGATCAAGAGAAAAAAAGTGAAGAGGATAACTTTAAGAAATAATAAGAATAATTAAATTAAGAATTATTAACGCGGATCAAGTTAAGGTAGCGTTGATTATAAATTTGTAAAACTTTGAATTTTTTTCTTAAAAATAATTAAGAATTTATTACTAAACCGCTTATTGTATGACTATGTTGTGTAAAGATATAGTAAATTTCAACATAAAAATATCATCAATTTATTTCACTGGTTTAGTGTATTCCCATTTGTTGAAAGTAAAATCACTTTTTAATATTTACTTAATAAATTCATAAAAAAATGCATGTACAATTAATTAATTATAATCGTAATAAGTTGGTTAATAACATATAATTGATATTTTTTATTCAAATTATTATTTAAGAATATCATTACCCATACCAATAGAAAATTATGAAAAATTGTGCAAATTGTTTTTTTCTTTTTTACTGAAAAATTAAACTTATTAAAAATTTATTTATTAGAAATTTCTTTGGTAGCTTGATTTATAAAATATAAAATTTATAAATAATTTAATGGTAAAGTGGTGAATGAGTGTTAAAGAGTTTAAAATCTAGTGCTAATTAATTGATGAATCTTTGAGTAATGACTTTTTGGCAAATGGTTTTATCCTTCGACAACTAAAAATTTATATGTCATTCATCACTCGTAATACTGTCAATTGTAAAATTGTATTATTGTTTATTTTTTTCTTGATAATTGAAACGCCATACCAATCAAATACTTCCGCGTTAACTGGACTATTGTGATAAGATATCGATATTTTTTCCTCTTTATTTAAAATTTTTTTTTTCTTTTTGATCCGATAGTTTTCCTGTTTAATTTATTTCAAATCAAGACCAAACCGCTGCTCCATAATGATAAATTTTTCTAAATTAATACAATACAGAAACAAATGTAAGTTAGTGTACAGGTTTTTACTGGTTTATTATCCATAAGATTTATAAATATAAAAGATATATATACACATACACACGTAGACTATATATATATATATATATAGTGTACGTGTCTCTGTGTAAAATTCAATGATTAAACACAGCCAGAAAAGATATGTTGAGTTTTTTTTTTTTGAAGCGGTGACTGTGAAATATAATTTATAATTATTAAAATATGAACTTTATTATAACAATTTGTACATAACAATCCGCAGGCTGATCTGACAAAAATGTGTGACGAAATGATAACAATTAATTAATTACCTATTGAAAAAATAAAAACGGCGCATTAAATTAATAAAAATGACTTCAACGTGTTTTACTGTATTTAAAAGAAAATATTGAGTAATTATCTGGAAATGAACAAGACATTATTGTTAGTACGGTAAATTAATAAAGTAAGTTAATGTGTAAAGTACAAGTCAAATTTTAAAATTAACTTTTTAATTTAAAAACTAAATATTTTATAGATTAGTAATTTTATGTTAATAGAAATGATTCGTAATTTTTATTGGGTATAATTATTAATTCAAAAATATTTAAGTTTAAAGATAAGAATATAAGCATCACATAAACAATTAAAAAGAAAATAAATAATTAAAAGTGTTTATATAATTTATATAAAAAGTAATGAAATAACTTGATTTCTTTATGTAAACACTCATAGTTATTTATTTCTTTAGTAATAATAAATAAGTAAAATACGATGGAGTGTTTTCGTATATATATGATGCAAAATGATTCAGATTCTGTTGTGATTGTGAAATTCTATACAATTGAAAAAATTTATTACAGAAACAAGTATCGCTTAATATATTTCACGTACATGGTTATGCAAAACAATATTTTATCTTAACAAGAAACAAACATCAAACAAATTATCGTACATTGCAAAATGAATTTTATTTTTGTAAATAATTACAAAAGTTTTTTAACGATACAAATAAATTAATTACATTAGTTAATGTTGTAAAAAGGATTTCACTTTCTTAAAATAATGTTTTATAAGGCCTAAAATTTATTTTGGTCGACTGGCAATTAAAACAAATTTGAAAAAAAAATTTAGAGTTTTGATAATAATTAATGCGTGATCAAGACAGATTTCTGAAACATTTTGTATTAACAATACTGACCCATTGATCACTATAGATTTTACAAATGTTACATCGATATAATTATAATATTAATTATAATTTATAATAAAGAAACAAAAAATAACATTACATATAGGAATATCTCATTATCATATTTTAAATATTCAATATTTTATATTTATTATAATAAGTCACATCATTCACCTTTGATTTTTACTCTTTCGAATTTTTTTTTTTCTTCAAATAAGTATTGCACAAAATTTTTATAGAAGATGAATAATTTGTGACCTTTGTATACAACATAACTATATTAAATGATTGAGTGTGCATCAAGTGAATCATAAAGTTTAACAAAAAGATAAAAATATTAAAATGACAAAACAAATATCTTGCATTTTATTTTTCCAAAATTCATAGAAGCAACAATGATTCGTAGATACATCCTAAATTAAATAAAATTAAAAAAAAAAAAGTATTTGTAATTATCGTTATAAGAAATTTTCAAAACATAAATAACTTGATTATGAAAGTGAGTTTATAGGAAGAGTTAAATGATAACTTTAAGCAGTATATTAATTTTTTTTATATGCAATCAAATCACTAATCATTATCAATATTTGCTGTTATTAATTTTGGTTTAACATGACATATGTGAGATTGTAAATAATTGATCAAGTTTTAATGAATAATTTTAGTCGTACATTAAAATATAGTAATTTAACGTACAATAAAAGATAGATTTAAACAATCAATACAATTGGTACAAACAAAATATGAGCATTTCGATGCTACGAATCTCATGCTATACATGAATTCCGCAATGAAAAGTAGAAAGTGGTATGATGAGAATGTGTTGTAGAAGTGCGTGAAGTATTTAATTTAATAAATTTTAATTCAAACGAATTATTGATTACCGTGAGTAAGTCTCGTTAATTTGTCAACGAAACTCTAATAGATTTTCCGATTATTAACAGCAATTTTGTAAGTAATATCAAGTTATAAAAAATGTTATGTTTTATTGGTGGACAACCTCTGCTCTCAAACGGGCTGCAAGAGCTTTACGAACTTGAAGAATTGATGGATCGGTAGCTTGAGAATTTTCTAAATCTTGTTTACCTTGCATCGTTGCTTCAGCAACATTTCTAGCTGAGCTTGGACGTGCCTTTGTCATCTCCAATCTTTGATTACGAGCTTGTTTTTTCAGTGCTACTAATTTGTCTCTTCGTGCTTTTAGATAATTTTCTCTTTTTTTCATATCTTCTTCACTTTCATCTTGTTTTTCATTTATTTTCTATAATTTTATTTATAAAATTAACAAACCTTAAACTATTTATAGCTAAAAAATAAGGAGTATTAATTTATGTTATTTCAGAAAAAAAAAGTTATACCGTTTCAGCTTGAAGGTCTGGCTTTTCATCTTCTTCCTTTGGTATTGGGGCAAGCGGAGTTAATATTCTCGTTGGTTTAAGCAGTGGCAATTTTACAGACTTTGAACTTGACTCGATTGGTTGATCGACATTTTCTACCGACTTAACTGGTGGATCTGTTAGTTGTGCTGAAGTTCTTATCGTTTCTTCCAACACGGCTCGTTCGTTTTGATACTGATTGTACAAGATTTCGTGGGCTTTTTCGAGATCTGTTTCTGCCTCAACAAGATTATCGTCATCCTCTTCTTGTTCAAGTTCTTGAATTTTTTTTCTAAATATAAATATAATTATTAAACTAATATAGTTAATGAACGCTTAAGATGATAAAGATATTAATTTTACTGTAATATTTCTTCCATAGCAAGTTCATCATCAGGGAGATCTTCAGTATTATAAGTTAACGATGAAGGAGTAAGTCCAAATTTTTGTTCCAACATGTTGAGGGCTTGTAATTGTAACTCCAAATTTTTTTGTATCATCATTCTTTTGAATATTTCATATTCATTGGCGGCCCAAATTTGTTCAAAAAGAGACTAAAATTTTAAATAAAAGAATAATTTACTTTTATTTTTCAAATTAATATAATTAAAAAAAAAAAAAAAAAATAAAGACTTACCTGTTGAAAGTTAATAGGCATTCTCGTTTGTTTATTTACCGTACATGCATGTTCAAATTGCTCTGGTGTAATTCTCATATCTTCCATATAACATCCTAATAATAAATCAACCAAATTTTTATATTCTTGGTAAACTTCATGATATTCTTCACTGTCTTGTGTATCTGCTTCAAAAACTGATTAAAAAGCAACATTATTCAATTATTATTAATTTATTTTAATTAAGGAGTATTAGTATCAAAAAATCTTACTGAGAGATCTTTCTTCGATAAATGTTAAGAGAGGTGCTGACCATACTGGACCTTGAAGAAATCCTACTAATGAATCAAACACCCAACCACTATCTTCTTGAGCCATTATTATTGTTTTGAACTTTTTTATATTAATTAATTAATATAGTGAAAAATGAAATATCTAAATGTCTTTTTGCTTTTAGAATGAAAAAAAAAAAAAAAAAAACACAGAAAATGTTAACAGTCCCTTCTGATAGAACAGCAACTGCAATGCCCCGACTATTGGGTGTTACTATGGTAACATTAATCAAAACATTAACATGACTATATACTTACACTCGTCAATCATCATCTGAATTAGATATAAATTATTTATACCGGGTTAAAGTTTGTTCGTAAATTATTGAAACGATTAATCGATAAAATATTGAATAACTTTTTAGTATTAACGATGCATACAGTTTTTTAAATAATGATGATTTTTGTCATTTTTAAAGTTTCAGTTCAATTATTGTAAATAATTATAATTTTTTAATATTTCATTGTTATCTAATTATGAAAATTAATTTAGCAGATTTTTGATAATTTTAACAATTTTTTAGAAAATAAATTATTGCAAAAAAAAATTGACATTTAGAAATTGAAAAAAATAAAAAATGCAATTTTTTAAAAATAATTTTTTCGAACAAATTTGTTTGTTAAAAAAAATAAAAAAATGATCAAGTGACTGCTAACTTTAATTTCATTATCTAATTATTTAATTCGCGTGAATTTATTTTATTGAGTCTAAATTACCGACGTGGTCGTAATTCGCCCGGGAATATTGAAATACTCAACTTTGAAATAGCAGGAATGAATAAATATTAATAAATGACTGGGTTTTAACGTGCAAAATAACTTCGAAGAGAATATTAGTTTAAATTGATTTAAATATATTGTTGGATAAAACTTTAAACCGAATTAAATTATCTGGATATTACAATATTTAATGAAGATGTAAGATCAGTCTGAGGGCTGAGGATATATATTCTGATTCTTCCGAGTTTGGTCTTGAGTCCGAAGTGAAGCAGAAGCGATGGTGGGGCAGCTTCCCCTACTGCACTAGGGTCTCTAGGGTCCCACACATGGAGACTACATAAGGAGCACGCACTTAAGTGTGGCATTTGCCAGAGTATGGTCCGCGCTTATCGTATAAATAAAGCTTCCTTTTTTCACCACTAGCGTCGCTAATTTTCCTTTTGTACCGGTGTGAATATAGAGAAATAAATAAACGTGAAGTTAGCGTGAAAATAATCTAACTTCGTTTAACGTAAACACGTAAATAATAATTTTATTTTATTTAATTAAATAAATATAATCAAGTATTCAATAAAATTTAATTTTAAAAATGGGTAGAGTGTGTGCTGTTAAAAATTGTAATACTGGCAGTGCAGCAGATAAGAAACTACGTAAGGAGCTAAATTTGAAGACTCCTGGATTTTTTAAAGTACCCCAAGTAAGTTAATTAATATATTTAGCGATGAACCGAATAAATTGAAGAGAATAAGTATTTTAATGGCATTGTGATTGTTTTTTTTTTATGATAGGAAAACTCAATTAATAAATATATTTCACTTTTTTTATGCGTTTTTGAATAGAGTCCAACACAACGTCAAGAGTGGATAAACTCTCTGTCAATGGAATTAAATAGTCGTCAGTACGTTTGTGATTTGCATTTTCCTGAAAATTCAATTCAGCATTCTTACATTACTAATTTACCTGATGGAGAGATTAATAAAATTGCGAAAGGGCGAATAACCCGAATTTTCAATTCAATCCCACTGATTGTTGATCCACCACAATGTACAACAATTAACTACAGTGATGTTCAAGTTCTGAATAAGAGGATTGAATTACAAGGCAAGGAATTTGAGCAGTGCCAACAGCAGCAGCATCAGCAGCTACAACAACAGCAGGAACAGTTTCAGCAGCAGGAAGAGTTTCGGCAACAGGAAGAGTTTCGGCACCAGGAGGAGTTTCAGCAACAGGAAAAGCAACAGAATGAGTTTCAGCAGCAAGAAGCACAATCAAATGACAATTTTGTGCTAGAAAAAGACTATCTAAGAGCCCCTGTGAAAAGAAAATTAATTTATCCTGATGAAAATATGACAATCAAAAGAGTAAAACATTCTGAGCATAGCATAGATTATAACGATGAAGTAAGCATAATGTTTTATTACATAAATAAATGTATTTTCATACATATTTAAACAAAAATTTCATTTTTCTAGATAAATCTCGATGATGATGAAAAAATTCTGAAAATAATTGTAGAGCTGAATACATTGTTTCCAATCGGTTGGAGTTTTTTTCCTGGTGTTAATCAATTAACAGCACTCCAATTAGATCGTATAAAATTTAAGGAAAGAGCTCGATTAAAATTAAGTGACGATGGATCTGTTTTGGTAAAAACAAAATTTAATTTAATTTCAAGATTCTTGAGAAAAGAATACGTTATCATTCTTTAATGAATAAAAGCTTTGAATGTTAAAAATTATTATTTATTACAGGTTACATACATAGAACGCGTTGAAAAAAAATTGGATGTACAGATAAAGTCTATCAATGACTTAATTAAGTGTTTGGAATCTTTCCAAGAAAAAAAATTATGTTCAGGGACAGGGTTTGATAGAAAAAGGTATTCATTTTATTTAAATTGTCTCCGTGTATTTTTATTATACTAATATAGCTGAAAAATAGCTGATTATATATAACTGAAAAATTGAATATTGAATCTATGAATAATTATTTAATTTTTGAAAATTAGTTATTCACAAAGATGTCATGGGGATGTAACGGATAACTATAAACGTTGTCACGCTTGTCCAAGGTGCCCCGAATGTCGAAAACTGCGTTTAAATATACTGAAAGCAGAAAAAGAACGAAAACATCAAGCTAAAAATAAAAGGACTTCTAAAATTCCAACTGAACTGCCTAAACAAACAAAACGAATGCAACAACAGGTATATATAATTCAATTCTCATGTATCTTTTATATTCTCGTATAATTATTTTCTGGCTCTGATATTTAAATTGCTACTGCTTTTACTATTTCAAGAGTGATTTGAATTTTCTAAATATTTTCAGTTGCGATCATCAGCATCAAAGCTACGAGTTGTTCAACGAAAAGCGAAAACATTTTATGAGGGCCAATTTAATAAAAAAATTTCGCTACTACCAAAACAGCAACAAATTACTGTCAGAATGTGCTTTGAAAATAGTAAAAGGAAAGGTCCAACTGGTAGAAGGTATGAAGTGGAATGGATTTACGAATGTCTCTTGATTCGCATGAAAAGTACTTGTACATATAATATGATTCGAGCAAGAAACATCATTCCTCTACCAACTATTGATACTTTATCCCGATACATTCAAAAAATTAGCTCTTCTATTTTTGGATTTTTACCTGAAACCTTCAAAGTTTTAAAAGAAAAAGGACTATCGATGGCCCCTGGAGATCGAATAGGTCAAATTTCAGCTGATGAAGTAAAACTGATGGAAAATATTGAGTATAACAAAAAGATTGCTGAATATACTGGTTTCGTTGACCTTGGAAAATATACATCTGGATCTGATAGTGATGTTGCTGGAGACCATGCTCTCGTATTTATGTTCGTACCGTACAGAGGCAATTCTGCTCAGCCTTTAGGATGTTTTATTACTAAAAATTCAATAACTAGTGAAGTTCTTCATAAGTTATTCTTGGAGTGCATTATTCTTGTTGAAAATGCTGGTTTCCATGTGAATTCGATCGTTACTGATGCTGCACAATGGAACCGCGGTGTTTGGACGAAATTAGGAGTTGATCCCAATAATATCAGCTGTGAGCATCCATGTGATTCTAACAGAAGATTATGGGTAATATCCGATTTTCCGTATTTAGTTAAATGTTTTAGAAATGGATTAATTGAATTAGATGAATTCGAGGTAATTTTTTCATTATTTATTGTAATATTTTAGCCAATCGTTTTTCTATTAAATTTAATCATTTTTATATTAACAAGAATAATAAAAAATTAATTTATTTTATTTTATTATAGACACCATTAGGGATTGTAAAAAAAAAATATTGGGAAAACCTATTAAAAGTTGAGCAGTTTGAAAAACCAAATTTGGCTATGGCCTATAAACTCACGCCAGCTCACTTGGACCCAAAATTGTATCAAAAGATGTCTGTTCCGCTAGCTTATCAGGTACACATTTACCTCATTTTTTACTAAATTTATTTCGTTGCATTCTATCTTAATATCAACAGCTATATTCACGTGAAGTGCGTTGTGCGATGACAGTTTTACGAGAAAATGGCAATGACAACTTTGAAGGATCAGAACCAACTGAAAAATTTATTAAAATAATAGACGATGGAATTCAAGCCATGACTTCTCATGATTCTAATAACGCTCTGTACTTCAAGGATTCCTGTGAGCAGAAGCAGGTAATAAAAAATAAGTCAATATATATTAATCAGCACAGTTAAAATTCTAAATCTTATAATATTTATTTGCGGTGGATATTAAATTATGAAAATTCCTCATCAAATCAAATGATAACACAACCATAATTTACCAGTGTTAAACACTAATTCTAGATTTTATAGAATTTTACACTCTAGATATTAAAAAATTTGAAAAAAAATGATTTTTAAATTTTATCACGTAAACTTGTGAGCTTTCATATACTAACAATAATTTTAATATTATGGCAAAGTAATACTAAAACAATATTTTAAAAAATGCTTTAAAACGCTTCAATTAGTTCCGAAATATTGATTTTATTTTAGGATCAATCCAGATTTTATTAAATAAATATTTATTGCTTATATGCTTGTTTGTAAAATCTTAACATTAATTTTGCTTTTGCTTCTTAACCAATTACTAATTTAATATTATTTATCATAAAAAAAAATTTTAAATCAAACTTCTATAATTTACAGATTTTTTGCAGCTGATTACGGATTTAAATAATACTTGAATCTGATGCTGCTTTTATCACTACTTTGTCACAAAGTATTCATCAAAATCATTGGAGTCCAAGAGATTGGTTACACCAACTCTACAGATTATTGTTATTTTCAGCGAATTTTCAAATTTGTCGTTTTTGGACCAAGATTTGGAAAATAAAAATCAGATAGTAACGACAGAAATCTCACCTACAATCGATGCTGGCAGGAGATAGTAATTTGACAATATTAACAGTTTATTTCATTTCTATTTGCATTACTAACCTCTAAATGCTTCTAGAATTATCTTCTATTAGTTATCCTGCTTAAAATTACTACTAGTGTTCTTGATAATTCATTACTTATTTGTCTAGAATATTTACTTCGTATATAATTATCTTCCATATATACTCTTCATTTTACTCATGACACAGGCAATCCAGACTTTGTTGAAGTTTTTAGAGGATTGGGAAAAAATGCATAGTAATGTAAAAATTCAAAATGTTTCTACTCCGAAAAATTCCACAAAAAAGAATTTAGTGCCTAACCAAACACCTCAAAATCCATCAACTCCAAAAAATCTTAACCTTAACAAAACGACTCCTAAATCTAAATCCAAAAAGAGGGACTTTCCTATCTCTTCTAGCTCTATATCGGGCTTTAAAGTTACTTTACGAGCAGCATTAGAGATTTCGTCAGAGTTGCATAAAAATTACGGTTATGAATACCTTTTAACTTCTCGTCTCACTCAGGATAATCTCGAGGTAATTCTTTAACTAACTTTTTAAATATACTTACTTTATTTATATTTGGTATTTATTTTACAGAGATTGTTTTCAATTATGAGGTATTCTTGTGGGTCTAATGATCATCCAACTCCCCAGCAGTTTGGCCAAGTGTTTCGTCTATACTGTTGTAATGCTATGATCAAACCTCCGAAAGGCACAAATGTGACTGGTGTTGAATTACTACAGACTCTCATGAAAACAAAAGATACATTAGAAACGTCTCGTGAACCTAGAGTAGAGTGGTTGAAAAAAATTGATCAGATGTTGGAAAACGCTGTACCAATTGATGATCTTTGGAACAATAACTCATCCAACAATGTTTCTGATATTGCTGACAGTGAAGAAGGCCTAAATAATCAATCTCAAGAAGCGTCGATTGATTTAAACAGCTCTGAACAGTCTACTCAATTAACCCTTAGAACTGATGGATGCCTGGAAGATCATGACTACGATGTTGTATCGACAAGTAAGGAAGTTCAAGCTTACATGGCTGGTTACATTGTAAGGAAATTAAAATTAAAGTGCAAGTGTTTATTATGTCTCAACACTCTTCAATTATCTGACAATGAGTTGAACAGCCGTGACCGTTTCATTGATTTAATGGAAAAATATGGAGGACTATCAAGAGCGAGTGATGATTTGTTTAAATTAACTGAACAATTAGAAGCTGCTTTCTTGGATGTTGTTGGCAGAGTAGGACTTAGTCGTGGAATTATTTATAAAATATTAGATAGAATTGAAACTAAATTACCTAAATTATCGTTCGTGGGTTGTGCGATTCATCAACTCGAAATAACAAAAAATATTATCGATTTTTACGTCACGATGCGGTTACATTTTCTTGGGAGAACGTTCAACAAAAGGAATCAATTGAAAAGAGAAAAAATGAAAGCATTAAAAAAAACATCTAAGCTTGTGACCTAATTTCGTTGAATTTAATAGTTAAAAAATATTTATCTTGGATTATTAATGTTGAATTCGTTTGTATTGATTGTATTGACCAAACTATAAAATAACTCTTTGTATTTCATCAAAATTATATTTTCAATATAGTAATTTTGTGTATTGATCTGTTACTTGACTTATTTTCCTGTGTACAATTAATTTATTATTTAAATAATACAGAAATGACATTAATTATTACACTAGATTTTTTATTAATTGATATTATTTATTAATAATGAAAATTTTAATTATAAGTTTTCTACTTCTTATTATCATTTTATGATTTTTATCCAACTAATTTTTAACTTATTATTGATTTGATTTTTATTATTTACATCCAGAAGATCGAAATAATTTTTTTATAGTTTAAACGAATTAATTTTCAAGTAATTAGAATTATTTATTTTATTCCAAACTACCGCCTCATTTTCTTATGCCATTTTGGTACATATAGAACACTAGCGCCCTCTTAAAACGCACTGTTTGACACAGTACGCTTGTGATACATGGAGTGCGTGCTCCTTATGTAGTCTCCATGGGGATTATGTTTAATTCAATATCAACCCGGCATTTATATTTACTAGTTATTTATTATTTTCAATTCCAAAAACAGTAAAATTAAAAAAATAATTATTAAAAATGTCGAAAGTAGCATCACGTTTAAAGTCAGCAAAAAAATTAATGGAAAAAGTAGATCATAGTTCTAAATTACATACAGAAATACCGGCTGGTTTAGCATCTCCAAGTCCACCTCTTGGCTCACAATTAGGACAGGTTAGTTTTTTTTCTAATTTATTAAAAATTAAAATCACACATAATTATTTATACTTTACCGTATTTTGTGATTTCAGAGAAATATAAATATTGCCAATTTTGTGAAAGAATTTAATCAAAAAACAGAACATTTGAAAGAAGGCATACCAATACCATGTAGGGTTAAGGTAAATCCTGATAGAACTTATGATCTTGTAATGCATAAACCTCCGACATCGTATTACCTAATGCAGGCTGCTGGTATTCAGAGAGGTGCTATGAACTCAGGTAAAAATATAAATATATATTTTTTTAATGTTATCCTTATAAATTAATTTTCTTTGAAGGATAACTTACTACTAAATAGTTGATCAAAGGTTTGAAGAAAAATAAATGATTCGATAAACAAAAATTAATTATGAGATTGATTTATTTGCAAATATTAGAAATTTTAACTACAAAAACTTTATGACTTTAAATTTTATCACAGAAGCTTTTAATACCTTCGAATTTCAGTTTTAGGCAAAGCAAAAAATTTCTACTCGTCATTTTACCTATTAGATTATGATACTGAATTTAAGAAACATATAGAATATCGTTTTTATTTGTATCACATATTGCGTTTTACAAAACTGTATCTTAAATTATTTATTTACATTTGCATATACACTATTTTTGGCTTAAAAATCAACTGCTTTTACTCTCTTTTTAAGAGACATATATTAACTTTTAGAAATTTTTTTAATAAATAAGTAATGACTTATGACAAATAAAACATAGAAAAAAATTCAATTTTTAGAAATTTTAAAAAACTATAAATGCACTTTTTCAAAAATAATTTTTTAGAAATGATTTATTTGTAAAGTTAAATCCAAAAATGGTAAAATGTCTGCTAATTTCATTGTCTCTTTTAGAGTACCATTGATTACATATAAGCAAATGATTCTGAAAACTGTAAATGTCTGACAATTTTTAAGTTTTTAAATCAATCATAATTAGAAAATAAAATTATTAAACGCATGCCAAGAAAAACTTAAAATATTTTATATGTAAAGTTATAAGAGTAAGAAAGAATAATACATAAAATTTGATCAGTTTAATTTTTTTTTTAAATCTAGGTATAAACACTTTTTAAAAGTTAAGACTTCATTAGAGTTAAAAAGAAAAATGAATTTTTGGTTCTTAATTAAAATGCGCTCTTCTTAGAAGCTTCTAAGTTGATACTTCAATAAAATATCTGTTAAATATTAAACTACAGGAAATAAATGAACTTATCAATTTAATGACACATATTTCCTCTTTACCTGGCTACTACCAATTTTTTTTTTTTTTTTTTTAATATTTATTAAACTTACGAATGCCTATCGATTTTATTATCATTTTATTTAGTTTTTTTATGTAATTAGTTGTATTCAAAAACCAAAAAAATTTATAAATAAATATGATGACTGATAACATTTGAATCACCATCTATTAATATTGAAAATCACATACGCATAGTTTTTTGTTGTCCCGTATTATGGTCGTTTTTTGTCTAAAAAATAAATAATTTATTTGCCTTGTTTCAGGAAAAGAAACTTCCGGTAAAATAACTTTAAAACATCTGTATGAAATAGCTAAAATAAAATCTGAAGATCCACCATTGAGTTTGTTGACACTGGAACAAATAACACAGATGTTTGTTGGTATAGCTAGAACGATAGGTATTCAAATAGTTCGTGACTTAGATGCTGATGAATATGCTAAATTTTTAAAAGAACGAGAAGTTATTGTTGCTGAGCAAAAGAAAGCAATTCAGGAGGCGAAGGAAGCTAAGATGTTACGAACAGCGTAGATTATGTTACTGGTAATAGTGTTTAAAATATATTTAATTGTAATCTATTATTCGCATTTGCTTTTTATCTTTAAGAATAAAATCTTAATTTCAATCAAATTATATTTAATTTTAATATCCAAGTCGATTTTATATAAAATTTTAAAAATCCAAAAAAAGACACAAAATAAATTTTGTCTTTTTCACATAAAGAAATACAGGGAAAGGGGATTTTGTTTTGTCCATTTCTAAGCATGTAAGAGTCAATCGCCTAAAAATTAAGAGTACCAAGTTCCATCAAGATCGGTTAAGAATTGAAGACGTAGTTATCCTTTGTGATATGATGGGTTGTGTTACACTCATACATAAATTCTAATTTTTTGCCAATATTATCTTGGAAAGTAGCCTACATTATTATAATATGTCATCCTACGAGCAAATGTAATATTTAGATTTTTCTGTTATAATTACACACTATTTTTACAACATTAAGTCTACAACTCAATAACAAATAAGTAGTATAATAACAAATAAGAGGAAAAGGTTTAAGAAGAAATAAAAAATTCAGTCATAAGTTATTATTGAAAATGAAGTTTTATTGGATAATATTAAAAGTCTTTCATTTTCAAGATTCAATAATTTATTATTTTATTCTAAAGATTTCTAATATTTACGTAATAATCAGTTTAAGGTAGAACTGAAAACGTACATTTTTATAAATTTGATTAATTTTCACAGCCAAAGAGTTTAAGGCATTAAAATAATTTTCACTTATTTCAATTAATTTGATGCTTGTAAAAAAAATCACAAAAATTTTTTTTTTATTTGTCAGTCTTAACTGTTTTTTTATCTTACAATTTTTTGTTTGTATATAAGTATTTTGAATTAAAATGTAAATACGATTTTTGTTTGGATATTCAAATTTAATCAGTGTCAAAAATTTGGCATTTGTTATAAAACTCATTTGAAAATAAACAAAACAAAGTATATTTACGATAATTGTCAATATACATTGAGAAATGTATTTGCGAATAGTATAGTGCTCTGGTATTAAAATTCTATTATATAAATAAATTAAAAGAGTGATTCTTTAGTGAAAGAATAATTACTTAGTGTATAATATTGAGAAAAAAAAAAAATTAAAAATAGAAATGAAATTTAATGTGCGAAGTTTTCTTCAATTTTTGATCTAATTTCATTTTATATGAAATTTGTAGTAAAAAGAAACATTTACTTTTCATTGTGTAGGTTGTAGTGTGTTGAAAAGCATTATTTTACTCGTTATTTTAGAAAGATGATCAGTTCCCATCATGCAGTCAAGTCCCGTTTGTGTTCAAGTCCCACACCGAAAATGTAAATTTAGGCCTCACGTTCTCAGATTTTATTCCCATACCGAAGTTCATTTATTAATTTTCATTTTCCTACGCTGTTGTAAGAATGGAGTCATAATTTATGAAATGTCTTATTAGAGCTGCATTACAATCTATTATAGTTAGTATTTAAAATACTTTCTAATTTTTGCGTTTATTTACCACAGCAAAAAGATTTTTTGTTTTTGATTTTATGTTTAATTGATTCCTTCCAAGTAAGTTATGATTTATTGGTAATCTTCATTGTTAACCCGATTATTAGAATTTTATTTGAATTTATGTATTTGTTGATTAAATGATCACATGAATGTCTTTTCGTCTCAATTAATTTAATTAAGATTTATCATGTTATTATATTCCGGTTTGTCGAGTTTCATTTAAATTGTCCATGTAATTGACAAAGATCGGACAATATTCGATATTTTAACGTATAATATAGTGTCGCAAACTAATTTTTATTAAAATTTTACTGAATTATCGATACTGCTTGATATTTTCAACTGTAATGTTGTAAATGCATTTTTTGATAAATGCTGTTAACGAATCAATATTTTTTAAAGTTTAATTTGTCAATAATTTCAAAGTCCGCAAACTTTCTTTGATGATGTACAATAAAGTTTATAAAAGAAAAACAATACTTGACAAGATAATGATTGATAATAAAAGAGTTCTACTATATATATTACAGCATTAAATAATGTCAGAAATTTTTTCTATTTTAATAAATCACGTATCTCTGTCAATTGAAAAATCTATGTCACGAAAAAAAAAAATTTTGCGTAGAAGTTGACGAAGAAAAATATTTTCATTAATGTTAGTAAATATTACAGATCACTAACGATATTTTTCTGAATTTTTTTTTTTTGATAAAATTCAATCGAAATTTGCCAAAAATCGATAAATAAACTATTATAACTATTAACTCACACCGCGTATATGTGTCACGAGTAAGATTTTTATATCGTTAAATTCAGTAAATGAAAATCGACGGTGATTTATATTGAACGTTTATATCGCGTTAAAAATGTCGACGAACGTTTGCAATCCCACGACGAGCCGCGGCGAAGTCCTCTTCATCTTGATCCTCTTCATCACTCGAAGTCCCTTGAAGTTCTACAGCATCCGTCCGGAAGCTCCATCCTCTTCTACGACGTCTTCTTTCTTCTGCGCTGGCCTGAAAACCCCCCAGATACCCCTTTCTTTTTTTGTCATTTAGATCTTTTTTTTTTAATTTTTTTCTTTCATTTGATTTTATTCAAAAAAATGTTTTTTTTCTTTTAATTTTTTTTTTGCATATTTTTTTTTCTTTTATTTTTTTTTTAGTCAAAAAAAATTTATTTTTATTATATTTTTTTTTTATTTTTTTTACTTAAAAAAAATTTATTTTTGTTTTATTTTTTTTTTTGCATATTTTTTTGTTTACTTTTGTTTCCTTTAATCTTCTCAATTGTATTTTTTAAATACTTTCATTTTTTTTTGTTTTATATATTTTTTTTCATTTTTTTCTTTTTTACTTTTTTTTTTTCTTTTTTTCTTTTTTTTTCTTTTTTTTTTTCATTTTTTAAAATGTTAGATAACAAAACAACAAACATAAAATGAAATTGTTAAAAAAAAAATCCTCGAAATAAGTGATTGCGAGTCCAATATGTATAATCATATCTGCAACAAAAAAACAAGTGTATATTTTTAATAAAAGTCTTTACAAATCAACTCATAGAATACCAAATTAATGATAATAATAAAATAACTTACTTAAAAAAATAAAAAGAAGATACGTTTTAGCTGGAACTCTGCATTCATCCGGATGCCCCAGTCAGATTCCTGCTCAAAGAAAATCCTCAACCCTTTCGTCAATTGAACTATCACCAAGACCGTCTCGACCGTGTGCATTCAGGTGTGCTCGGGTGTACGAAATAAGCCCCAGGTAACGCGTGTCCCGTCGACAAGAGAGTCTCAAACCGCCAAGGAAACCCATGCGAGTGTGTCCGATGCCGTTATCACGCCACAATTCCGGAAGATCTGCTGCTGGGAGTCAGACCGCAACCGGGCGATGAACTCGGATGTGAATTCTATGCCCTATCTAAGACGATGGCTGGACTCCGAAGACCATCGGGATGAGAAGAAGAATGAACGAACGCCCAACTGTGCTAGCTCACGACCAAACCTCTCAGCCAGGTCTGCTTATCACTGTCCAACCATCACCGTCCTCATGTCTCAAACTGTTTTAGAAGTCAGTCTCCAAGTAGTTTTCTAAAAACACTCGGTTAGCAGGAAAACTAATGGGATATAAAAGGAAATATTCAACTCACGTATGTTCATAAGCATTATATCATACTAACACACAGTTCTTAAAATGCAATAATAATAATAATAATAATAATAATAATAATAATAATAAGAAAAATAGTTGTAAGTATTATCTTCTACAAAAATGATCATCTTTTGAATTTCTAGTATACTCTTCGGTTGTAAGTAATAATCTTCAAAATACGTAAGAAAATGAATCGCTTAGTATGGTCACTCATCTTCAATAGTTGGTTTCTTGTTAATAAAAGTAATAACATTATCTTCTGATCCTATCCTAATTTAATAGCCAAGTCAATTTGCTTTTCAATGCACCACATATGCTAACATATCCATTTGTGCAAAATTAATTAAAATACATTAAAAGGAAGAATCTAAAGTGCGTACCTGTTTTTGATTTTTTTTGTTCAATCAATAATTAATTTTTGAAAATATATTAAATACTTTAAATTGCCTAATACTCATCATTGATTATATGCAGTGCCAATCTTCTCCAAGCGGACGAATGGTTTATCGTGATAGGCGTATTTAATTACAAGTATTTAAAAATTACAAAAAAGAGCAACAGCCAGTTTGCATGCCTAGGTATAGTAAGTAATTGTAAATAGATATCATCAACATAGTAGGTGGCCCAAAAAACGTTACATTAGCGTAATCCAATGCTGTGCTCTGCGTAATATGAAGGCAGTTTATAGATATAGATGGTAATAACTGCTGCGGTTTTTTTTTTTTTTTTTTTTTTTTTTTTTTTTTTTCAACGAACAAGTAATAATGGCATCACAATAACAGGAGTAATAATAATATATCTAAATATTAATCACTTAAATGAGTATGGTTCTGAAAATACTTTGGAACTCGTAAAATAATTAGTAGACCCCCAGCCCCAACCCACCAATAAAATATCAATTTATTATTATAAAAGCGTGTCGCGGGTACTAAAATACTTATTCAGTATTAAGTACCTAACATTTACAATTGTCAGCAGAACAATGCATTAATTAATTTTTTTATGTGTGAACAATATTATACAAAGAAACAATGTGTTAACTGCGGAGCTACGTAAACGTTAATTAAGAAAATATTTTCATAAAAAGAGATTAATAATAAAAATTACAATTCTAATTATAAATGATTATAAATAACTCACCGATAGTTCTAGCAACAAATATAGATAAAGCCACGATTCTAATTTTACACCATATATAGAATTTTTTTAACATTCAAACAAGGAAAATGATTACTTTTATATAATTATTTTTTATCCAATCACAATACGAGCAGTGTGAAAAAACTGTCAATTAATTTTTTGATTAAGTGAGTATAAGGACAATATTATTTTTACAGCAT